TTATGATCTCTCACTTTTCACAATCATTCTATGAGGTTTATGATCCTCATTTCAAATGTGGGAACCAAAATTCAGATGGGTGAAGAAATGTGTCCAAACTTACAAACTAGTGAGCAGTAGACCCAGCATTCAGGGTCGAGTCTGTTTCACTGTCATGGACTGGATGAGTTCCTTGGTGCCCTCCTTGTACTCTGCACACCTCTGTTACTTCATGTGTCACTAACTGGTCATTTTCTGGCATGCCCCCCCATACCATCACCTCTCGGCTGGCTTTTCCATCTCCAGTGACAGCCATACCACCTGACACATGACAGAAGCCCAGGAAGTGTCTGAGATATTGGATTAAATAGCTGCAGCACTGTCAGTGAGCTCCAGTGTCTAGCGTGGGCCCTTCTGTCACATTCCTCCTTCTGATCACCCACCAGCTTTTGTCATTTGAGCCTTTGGGGTCTATAGGGAACCTCACTCTGAGTGGGGGCAGGCTTGTCATCATTTACACATACCCCATTCATCCTTTCTGGGTAAAAATCCAAAACCAAAAAAGAAAAGCCAATAGCTAAGGGAAGCATTAGAACTTTCAAATGCTATTTTTCAAGATGTTCCAAAATCTCTCAGAGCATAAATAACCCTAGTGGGAATTATCCTTGGGAGGCTATCTCCATTGAGGAATCTTATCAGGCCAAAACAAAAATAAATGGCCAGCAGAGATTTTTTTTTGGAGGAATTTGCCCACCCATACGCTATGTTTCTCATAAAGCAATATGAATAAACAATTCTTCTGTCAAGGCTAATCTATTTTTGTGCTTGAAAAAGTAGCAATAGAGATGGACGACTGTATTTTCCTTATTTTGGCACAACTTCAGCTTTGAAATGTGTTTGTAATGGGTCTGCCACTGAAAAGTTCCACTCAAGAACCTCAGCCTGGATTGATAGAATGCTATTTCTTCCCAAGGCTTAAGTACTTGGACCAGAAAAATCTCCTTGTTTTCCTTGCAGACTTCAGTTTTTATGAGCCTCTTTTTATGGTGTCATTAGGAACTGTCCAAGTTCTGGGACGAGTGATCATTCTTTGGATTTTTCCAATATTTTGCTAGATAGAATTTGCTGGAGCTAACTCTCAGTCAGCATGGTGGTATCTGTAACCACTGGGTCTCCTCAGAAATCTCAGGACTGTGGAGTTAAAAGGCACTGAGTGAGTCCCTAAGACAAGTTGTGATAGAAAGAACTGCACTTGACAAGACAGTCTCTCAAAGTTGATTAGCAAGAAGAACCCACTTCACAAATACTAGCTCTTTTCTTCATCCTCCTGGCAACTACCAAGCCAGCAACTGGCAATAAAATCAGAAATTCCCCACTTACGAAGTTCCCCCACCCACACCAAATACCATGAAGTTCACTGAGGTTTTGGCCCCAGTATCATGAGGCAAGATACAGGTCAGTGTAATGAGCTTCAAGCTCTTGGGATGTAAACTTTGCTCCATGACAGCCTTTAATGAGGCCTAAGGACTACTCTCAGACCATGAGTTAACCTACCTCACTCTTCCCTTCTCTCTCCAGAGAGTTAACCTACCTCACTCTTCCCTTCTCTCTCCAAAAAATATGAGGAAATATTGTGTAACTATATACAGTTGTATAGACCTTCTTGGATTCATAGTTGCCTATAATATTTTCCATGGGAAGGAAAAAAGAGCTGTGACCCTATCTCAGCCAACTCAACCTGGTGGCAAACTCTTCTTTATCCATCAGACCCTCATCCCAAAGGTCACTATCTCTGGGAAGCCACCCTTGATTCTCTCAGAAAGGATTTGCATCATGTTATACTTCCATTACAGTGCCTACTTTGATGTTCCATTATAGATCTTTCTCCGCAGTAGCTGTAAGCACAAGGAAGATAGTTTACATCCTCTCAACGTGATCCCCCTAATGCCTAACTCTGTACCATACACAGTGTATGTGGCAGTAAATGTTTTCCAAGTGATGGGGACCCAGCAACCAAGTCCTGGCATCTTGATGGATTTGCATAAAAGATATCCAAGTTCTGAGGCTCACACTTGTCCCTGATCAAGACCAGGAATGATAAAACTTCAAGGCCACTGCGCAGGAAGTTTTAGAGAAATATGAATTTTGAGATTCTTTTGTGATGAATCATTAGTAGCTCTTGTTAAGATCATCAGCCTATCATCTCATTTCAGAAGCATCCATCCTGCTCCTTCTCTCACATTCACCCACAGCGTGTTCAGAAAGCACCACACAGTGAGCTGAGCCCAGTCTTAAAAGCAGGACGTGATTATACTAAGAAGTTCCAGAAGGAACTGGTACTGTGAGGTTGTGGAGTGGATTTCAGACCCCTGTATTTATTCACATAGAAAAGCAGAATCTCGGTGTTCTTCCAGAACTTAATTTATCATCTCTCCACCTCCTCCTCACAACTGAATTTTAGCCACATTGATATTTAATATGGACATTTTTGACAAGCCATTGATCCATTCACTCAATTCATATGTATTGAATACTTATTATGTGTCAAACTTTATGCTAGATACAGAAAATTCAACAGGAGTATTAAGATAGATATGGTCCTGAATCATTGCCCAGCAGGAAAGACAGACATTAAACAAATTTCACAATTGATTCATTAATTATAATTATAGCAAGTGTCTTAGTCTATTCAGGCTGCTATAACAGAATACCATAGTTGACATAAACAAGAGAAATTTGTTTCTCACAGTTCTGGAGGCTGGGAAGTTCAAAATCAAGGCACCATCAGATTCAGTGTCTGATGAGGGCCCACTTCCTGATTCATAGACAGCTGTCTTTTTACCAGGTCTTCACATGCTGGCAGGAACAAATGAGCAGCTCTCTGAGGCCTCTTTTGTAAAGGCACTAATTCCATCACGAGAGCCCTCATGACCTAATCACTTTCCCAAGGCCCATCTTCAAATGCCATCGCATTGAGGATTGGATTTCAACATATAAATTATGCAAGGACACAAACATTCAATCCATTTCAATAACTGCTACCAAGAAGGTGAGTTAGCAAGTACAACAGGAGGACCTAACCCAGGGAAGTGAAATTTTGAAGCTGAAATATGGAAGATGACAAGAAGGCTGTTAGTTATGCAGGGAGGTAGGGAGAGAGAGGAACAAGACTTATGACAGCCTTCATGTAGGAAGAAGACTGGCACTGGACCAGCACAACGACATCTCTAAGCTCTATGGAGAAGAACCACTCTCTGTATTTGACTGAAGCTGTGAGGTGGCAAGGAAGAAAAACCCTTTTAACTAACTTGTGGGTGGGGGAATTACTGAAAGAAAAATAAATTCTTAAGGAACCAACGTACAGGAGAAATAACTAGGCCTGTGGAAATTAGAAAATGATAAAAGTCAGAGTTCCTTTCTGTAACTCTAGACAGCATCTTCTTTTCTTTTCTTTTCTTTTCTCTCCCTTTTCCTCCCTCCTTCAGTCCCTACCTCCATTACTTCTTCTCTCTCTTTGTCTCTACTTCTTTCTCTCTCTTCTTTTTAAGTGTCTTCTTCTGCTTTGACCTGATCCAGTGTGGCAGCCAACCCTGAGTCTGTAAGATGTTACTGTTTCGGTTCTACCAGGCAATTGTAGTCTCAATGTCTCTCAGGCTAGTTCAACTGCTTGACAGAGTAAATCTGAGTGATCACTGGGCACTTGATAGAATTAATTGGTTCATCTTGACTCAGATGCCCATGTATTAGCAGCTTATTTTTTTGCCACACAAACTTGGCATACCAATTCATGTTCCGTGGGATCTAGGTTTAGTTCTACTCCCAGCCACAAGGACAGAGGGCCAGTAATATGGCCAATTGAACATGTACATGAGTTAGACTTTGGGTGAGAATTTGGGGATGAAAGACTGCCTCCATCTTCCTTGCATATTACAAGAGGAAATATTCACTCTTCTATTAGACAGCATGATGTGATGTTGTACAGTTCACATCTTTAGCAACATTTCTGTGACAATAAGGGAGCCAAACTGAGCGTGAAGCCACCCCAGAGGAACCAAACCCAAGATTTTAACAAAAATCTCAGTTGGGTCATATCACCTGAGCCCTGTGTCCAGCCTTTCCTAAAGCTGGTTCTACCCCTAGGATATTTTTCTTTTGTTGTTTTAAGCCAGTTTGAGTTGGATTTTTCTGTCACTTCCAAAAAAAAAAAAAAAAAAGTCAATCTGACTTGGCTTGCTTCTCGCTCCATCAATTATGGAATAGGGCTTGGGAGGGCAAGTTTATGTTTCAAGTGGTAAATGACTGTTTGGGAAGGTGATTGATCCCAAGCATATTCCAGGGAACTTAGAAGTATGAAGAAACAAATAGCATGGTTAGCAATGTTGCAATTACATCTAAATTTATAAGCAAGAAAGGAAAACATAGAGGTTAGTTTTGATACCAAATTGCTCTATCTTCTAAATAATTTTAATCACATTTTTCATCACTTCATTAATTTGGTTCAATTTTTCTTGAAAACAGTAACTATTATTCTTAGAAATAGATACAGACTATGTTTGAAACATCTCAAATGAGCTTCTTTTGAATTATTCATGTGAGAAAATCTCTGTAGATATCCAGAAATAGGGTCTCTTTCTGTTTCCCTCACTTAAAAACAAATGACTGCATTTTACTAAAAAGAAAACCTGAACTGAAACCAGATTTGAAAAATAACACCCCATTTTTCTTCCTACAAATCAAATTTGCTGAAGAAAACTGGGGGAAAAATAGAACTATAATAAAGCATTTCAATGTTTCTTACTATATGTACGTGTTTCTTACCTATTAGGATGTATAAATAACAAGCAAGCAGGCAGCTGTCTACTCAACTAGGCTGAACATTTTTCTAGCACAAGGCCATGAAATCTGGGTGAATTTCACTAGTAGTAGATGTGATCCTAACTCTGAGCCATGAGACAAAGACCTTCTATATAAATCAGCTCCCTATTTACTCCTCTGCTCATACTTCTCTTTTTCTTCCCAAGGAACGCAAATTTCCCAAGTTTGTATCCAAAGAAATGGAAAACATGTACATTGAGGAGCTGAAGTCATCTGTCAACCTGCTCATGGCCAACTTGGAGAGCATGCCAGTATCCAAAGGCGGGGAGTTCAAGCTCCAGAAACTCAAACGCAGCCACAATGCTTCCATCATCGACATGGGCGAGGAGAGTGAGAACCAACTCTCCAAGTCAGACGTCGTGCTGTCTTTCTCATTGGAGGTAAAAAGCCCTGAGCCCTTGAAAGTTTCTTGGCACAGCGAGTAGGACATGGGTGATTAGATGCATCACAATCAGCTTGTTTTTTCTTTTGCACCCCAGGAGCAGTTATTATAATAACAGCATGCTAAGCTTAGGTCAGCTAATCAGCAAGTGATTTCCCCATCTCCAGGAGCCCACATTTTTCTTAAGGAAATGCAATCTGAAAGCCACCTACTAAATTTAATCTTGCATTATTTTCTGTCTTAAAACAGTGCTCAAGGATTTTATAAAGACCTGGTATAATTTAGAAAGTTAAAAATTTTGGCAACCAGTTTTACAGGTATAAGAGAGGCAAGCTACCATCATATTGTGGCGAGTTGTAAGTTTTCTTTCCCATCATCCTTCCTGTTGGCTACAAGGTAGAGAGTCCCCTGTGGTGGAGGCTTTTTAAGTTTATCTCAGCTCCCAAAGTAAGTACCCATTCAGGCTAGTATTGTGGCAAAATGCTGAACATGTCAATAAGTTTCTCTATCATTTCTCTTCACACATTTTCTTTTCATATGTATACAATCTAAGGAGTAGTTCTGATCTACCTATGTCAGAATTACCTGGGAAGGTAGTTCACTATGCAGATTGCTGGGTACCACCCAGACTGACTAAGCCAGGATCTCGAGGGGATGGGAATATAAAATAGTGCAGCCACTTTGGAAAATAAGTTACCATTTTCTGAAAAAGTTAAACATAAAACTACCATATGATCTAGCAACTCCACTGTCAGATACCCAATAAAAATGAGAACACATGTCTGCACAAAGATTTGACTGCAAGTATTTATGGCAGCATTATTTATAATAGCCCAAAATGGAAACAACCTAAATGTCAATCAACTGATGAATGGTTAGCAAAATGTGGTATACCCATACAATGGAATATGACTCAGCAATTAAAAGGAACAACCCACTGATATATGCCATGACATGGATGAACCTCAAAAATATGCCTGGTGAAAAAAGCCAGGCTTGGCATGGTGGCTCATGTCTGTAATCCCAGCACTTTGGGAGGCTGAGGTGGGAGGATTGCGTGAGCTCAGGAGTTTAAGACCAGCCTGGGCAACATAATGAGACATCATCTCTACAAAAAAAAAAAAAAAAATGTTTTAATTAGCTGAGTGTGATGGTGTGCACCTGTAGTCCCAGCTCCTTGGGAGGTTGAGGTGGGAGGATCAGTTTAGCTGGGGAGATTGAGGCTGCAGTGAGCCATGATCGTGCCACTGTACTCCAGCCTGGGTGACAAAGACAGACCCTGTCTAAAAAAAACAAGTCAGACACAAAAGATGGCATATTGTATGATTCCCTTGATATAAAAGGTCCTAAAGGCAAATCTACAGAAATAGGAAGTCGATTATTGTTCCCTGGGGCAGGGGGTGGAAATGGGCTTAAGAAATCTTGTTAGGAGAACTAAAAATATTCTAAAACTAATTTATGATGATGGTTACACAACTTAGTAAATGTACCAACATCACTGAATTGTGCATCTAAAATGGGTCTATTATATGATATGTAAAACATGCCTCAATAAAGTCATCAGAAAAAAAAATTCTAGACAGGGTTCAGCCCTGGACTGTATACTTTAACAAGCCCCTACATACTTCTTATCCACTCCAAAATTTGAGAACCACTTGCAACTTACTAAAGTTCAAAACCCCACAAGGGTTTTATGATAACCCTAGATATGGGGAGACCAAAAGAAGAGATCAAATTTCTGTGGAATTAATTAGAATGTGTAAAGACTAAATCAATTTTCTAGAACATCATTAAAGCCTGCTGTGAATTAACTGCAGGTAATTTGTTTTTCTGTGCTAAGTTTGGGTGGAGATACTCACATTAGTGTTTTCAACATGTATTGTGCAGTTGGAAGAGGCAGTATTCAATTAAATATAGAGCACTTAGTGTGTGAAAAAATCATCAGTGTAATTTCACAGAAACTTTCTTTTTTAAAAAGCAATACTGCCACCTGAGACACTGAGTGTATTTTCTTAGGTGTCTGAATTTGATTATTGCCAATTAAAGGCGTCAATTTATTCCCTACTGCCTCTTGTCCTCCTACAGAAAGGGGGGGGAAGTGGTTTGTTGATTTTCATGAATATTTTAAATCTGTAATTTTCTTTCCTCTTTTTTTTTTCAACACAAGGTCTCACTCTGTTGCCCAGGCAGGAGTGCAGTGGTGCAGGTGCAATCTTGGCTCACTGCAGCCTCAACTTCCTGGGCTCAAGTGATCTTCCCACCTCAGCCAGCCTCCCAAGTAGCTGGAACTACAGGTGCACACCACCAAACCCAGCGAATCTTTGTATTTTTTGTAGAGATGGGGTTTTACCATGTTGTTCAGGCTGTTCATGAACTCCTGAACTCATGCTATCTATCCACCTCAGCCTCCCAAAATGCTGGGATTGTAGGCGTGCACCACAATGCCCTGCTAAATCTGTAATTTTCTACTTCTTTGTCAATACTCAATATTACACAGCTGATTATCTGAAATATAGATGTAGACAAGTCCATATTCCTATGTGTACATGATTCAAATGGTTTGACTTGTAATTGAAAGTACAGAAAGAAATGTCCTAGGATTCCCAAATAATTTCTAATGAGAACACTGAGTTGCACATCATAGAAAACTGCCAGCAAAAACCATTGCACATCTGTTTGTGAATACGTTTTGGTGGGCACAATGGGGGAGGCAAGAAGAGGGAGAAAGAGGATTGTCATCTCCATCTCATCAGGGCAGACTAGGATTTGAATTTGCACCTTGGTGCAAGACATATTTTATGTAATTATACACTTTCATGGCTGGAGGGGACACCAGGTAGTAATTAACTTTGCAGTGAGGGAAGGAAGGTCCAGGGTGCCCAGCAGCCTTGGGCAAAGGGCATGAGCTAACAGAAAGCAACAAGTATTTGTAGAATGCCACTATGGGCCAGGTGCTTTTTTATGGTAACACAGGGAATCCTCACAATAGTCTTTTCAGGTATTTGCAGGTGTAGTAACTAAGCGTCAGAGAGGTTGAGAAACCTGCACATGATGACACAGCTTGTGAAGATGCATAATCAGGATGTGAAGTCAGATATTTTAAATTCCAAAATTTATGCTCTTTCATCGTGCCTTCCATTTCTTTCTATTCATATGTTCTTCCCAGTGTAAAAATGTTCAGTTATGTACATCATCTCATTTGATCCTCACACAGCAGCCGCAGGATACATGTTATTACCCCCACTTTACAGATCAGGAAACTGAAGGCCTGGAGATTTGAAAAAAAAAAAATGAAGTGACTTCAACATCAAATCATTTGCCCAACATCACACGAGTAGTACAATGGTTCTGAAAGTGTGGCTGCTGGGTCAGCAGCATCAGCATCACCAGGAAAATTGTTAGAAATGGAAAGTCCTAGGCTCCAACCCAGGCCTACTGACTAGAAACTCTGGGGATCAGAGAGCCTAGCAGTCTTTAGTTTAACAAGCCCTGTAAGTGATTCTGATTCACATTAAGTTTGAGAACCAGTAGCAAAACTGTGACTTGTGAAATCCTGGTTCAGTGCTAACCCTGTTGTACTTTCTTGAATCTGATCCACTAAGGAAGTATACATTTTTTGCACACTCACGTTCTTCTTCTTTTGTAATGCCATTACCTGTTTTGGAGTACAACTGAATGATTTTTTCATATATAATGACTAATTGTATATCTCTGATGTGAGTCATTTGTTTCAGATTTTTTAATCGATCTCTTTCTTTTTACTTTGCTCATTCTTCTCCCTCCCCATTCTCTTGTGACAAGGTATACTGCTAAATATCAGAATAGTAGGTGATTACGTGGAGTTTGGGGAGGTGGTAGGATGTGCCAGAAACTGTAAATGATACATCTTGGTCTGTCATGACACCAGCTTTTTCTCTCAATCTGGACCAGAGACTATGCAGCTGCAGACATGTTTTTGTTTTGACTCAATAATATTGGCCTGTACAGAGTTTGTGTATTTTATTTTTCCCTATTTGAATTATTGTCAACATTTCAAAATCAGCTTTCTCACTGTGACTCTGATTCAGTTTTCCATTTTCTGGAAGGCAAAATTGGAGTATCTGGTAGCTCTAAACTGAGAAAAGACAAGGCAACAATGGGTTGTAACTGGTAGCTGCTCCCTTTAGAAGAAGCATGTGCTCTCCAGTTTGCCATAGTTCCCACTACTCCCTATTGCAGCTCTGAATCTAATGCTGAATAGTACTTGCCTTTTATTTTAGTATTTGCACTACTACTTATCTTATTGTGAAGAAAAAAGTGAATTTATGAGCCTGTGTCTCTTTTAAGTGCTGAACCAAAAGCCAGACTATTTTTTTTCTCATACTTTAAGTTCTAGGGTACATGTTCACTATGTGCAGGTTTGTTACATATGTATACTTGTGCCATGTTGGTGTACTGCACCCATCAACTCGTCAGCACCCATCAACTCGTCATTTACATCAGGTATAACTCCCAATGCCATCCCTCCCTTTTCCCCCTCCCCATAATAGGCCCCAGTGTGTGATGTTGCCCTTCCAGAGTCCAAGTGATCTCATTGTTCA